CTCTGAAGATGCTGGCCACAGAGACTGGCGAAATGTTAGGAAGAACAACCTTCAGAACATGGCCAAAGAGCCCAAAAAACCCACAACAACCATCAGATCTGTCAATATTTTTACATCCTTACATGGAGCATCCCCTGGGATTCCTAGACAGGTAGATGTCTATTTTTAATTCTCCATCACCTAATCTGGCTTTCTCCAGTGCCTCTTTTGCAACATCTGGTACCTTATTATTGGCAAAGCATCTGCACACATCTGCATTACAGGAAAGATGCATCCATTCCCTCCTCTGAGCTCTAGAGCAGACATCTCAAACTGGTGCCCTCCAGATATTTTGGGCTAGAGCTCCCATCAATCCCAGCCATTATTCAAGGATGATGGAAGTAATTGTTATAAACAGTACCTGGAGGACACCAAGTTGGGAAAGGTGCTCATAGGCTTTCTCAGACAATCTTGGATAGTTTAGAAAACAGAGTATTGTCACTGTCATGAAGTCAACATTGGAAGAAGGGGTTGGGGATGCTGGACTATTCTACGAAGAACAAAAGAAGAGGATGACCTAGAGGCAGTTTAGCTGAATGCTTAAGCAGCCCGCCCTTATTTTCGGGGTTAGATGCTCCCTCTCTGCTTTGTCCAGAAGCTGTCTCTGCACAGGAAGGTCACTGACAGCTCCAAAATCATCTAAGGTGTGAACGTCCCGCCAGGTGAAAACCAGGGAAGAAAGGTATAGGGCAGATGCAGCCAAAAGATGGGTGCCATACACCCACATGAAACATCTGCTTCTCTACCCATGCTGGATAAATTTATATATACAGAAAATATTTTTACTTTGCCTTTCTCCTTAAAAAGGTGAATTACCTCTTTAAAAGTCAGTATTTAAAGCTAACAGCACTGAGTACACATACACTAAAAAGGATGAAACAAACGGCATGCTAAAAAACATAAGCAACACAAAAACATATTCAAAGCAGTAAGGCACAATAATTCATTAAAAAAAACATCCAGACAACCAGCTACTAAGAGAAAGCTTGCTGGAAGAGAAAGTTATTTGTGTGCTTGTGGAAGGACAGTAAAGATGGGTGGCTTCTTGTGGGAGGGAGTTCCAAAGTCTGGGATGTGTCAAAGCTGGGAGATCTGTGGCTCCTCTGAATGTTGTGAGACTTCAAGTCCCACCAGCCCCAACGATCAGGACCAATGGATGAAGGGAGTTGTAGTAGCCCCACAATGGAGGACCACAAGTTCTCCACTTCTGGTTTATGTGCTGGGCGAATCTAGACTCCTAGGCAAACTGATGTGTATTTGCTGTGTCATGTCCAATTCTTCTTCCTGCCTCTTTCTTCCTACTTTGTGGGTTTTTAGCTCTGGCTGGGGTGTCAGGTGGTGCTGCTTGCTTCATAGCCAATGGTCCTTCTCTCCAAGAGGACCCATCCATTGAGAGGTACTTGAAGCATTTCAACAAAGAAGTGGCCGCTGTCAGCACCTTCCCTCCCAGGCCCAGCTTTGCCCCCAGCTGGCTACTGAAAACTGTAGTGGTGACACCGACCTGTAACTGGGCTGTTGCAGAGAGCATTTTCTGCCTGGCCTGAAGCGTTGTGGATGAGGACACGGAGATGGACATGTTCTGCCTCAGCCACCGGATATCATCCCACATGCAAGACAGCTGCAAAAATTAAGGCAGAGTTAGGTGGGAGGGAGAAAGAGAACATGAATTAATTTCCTTTCTTTCTTTTTTAAAGGCTATTTTTTCTTACCCATCCCTGTGGGTGGCGGACCATGGACGATAGTTAATAAATGAGGGATAATGGCATCTAAGCACCACAAACAGCACGAATCTGTCATAGCACATTTGCGCAGTCTCATAAAACTGGCGAGTGTGTCCTCATTGAGGGCTAGACGTAACACGGGGGGGGGGAAGGGTACCATTTGTAGGTCTGGCACTTCTCACTATTAGCAAATGTCTGCTCAGTGGTTAAGACCCTTACAGTTTTACTAGCTGTTTGGCATCCCATGTCTATTTCTAGTGGAGAATTCTTTTTAAAGGAATAAAAGGTTATCAAGCACATTTGTACCTTTGTGGCCAAAAAGTTAGATGAGAAGGTGTGGGCCTCTGTGTGTGAGTGAGAGAGAAGGGGGGGGATCCTTTTCAGTTGAATCCTGGCTTAATCAAAAGTGCTTTAAACAGGGCTCTTCCTAGACATAAGGAAGCACGAAGCACATTCCTGGTGCATCCGAAAACCTCTGCAGAAAGCCCTGCAAGGATCCTGCCCTCCCTTCTCAGTCTCCATTCTTCGGGCTCCCAAGCCTGTCCCTTTCTGATATGGAAGTCCGGCTCATTATACACTGGTTTTTTTTCCCAGTGGTTTGATTTCCCTCTCCACAATTCATCAAGAAATCCCCCCAAAATTCTCCTTCCTTCCATGCCTTTCCTGTACTCTTCTGTGACCTGAGGACTAGAGGTGTGGACAGATACTTTTCGGCAGAACGCTTCAGCCAGGACATCCCGCCTTTTTCCAGCCACGTGGGCATGCTTATTCTGTGAGTTAAAGCACTTTGGATTAAGCCAGGATTCAACTGAAAAGGATCCCCCCCCTCTCTCACACACACATAGAGGCCCACACTTTCTCATCTAACTTTTTGGCCACAAAAGGTACAAATGTGCTTGATAACCTTGTGAGTTAAGAGTACCAAAAATATTTTTCTCTCTCGTTTTAGCTGAGGACTGAATTAGAGGAGACAGCAGCAAATCTGTGTGTTTTAAATTTACAGCCAAATTGTCTCTTACAGATAATCCGTCCTCCGAGCTGAAATCAGGTTAGCGTTCCAGACACATAGTTCTGGCAGAACTTAACCTCTGTGCAACCAGACTTGCAAATAACGCCAAAGACCAGTCGCAGAACAAAGCAAATAAAATTGCAAGTTTAGGTAAGGGGGAGAAATACTTCTGCACTTAGAGGCTTTCAACAGTTAAAGAATTCCCTCTTCCGAAAAAAGATTATCTGTAATGTTTATTTCAGCCCTGGACTGCTTCATCTGTATTGAAAGTGACTGTGTGATTTAGAGAGCAAACAAGGAGTTATTCCCACTCCTCTCTTGCTGCTTGAGGGTGGAAACCTTTTTTTTTTCCGGAGCAGCCAGACTCATTTTCAGTACTGGAGTCTGGCAGCTGAGAAAAAACATTTCTGCACACCAGACACCTTCCTTCTGTTTAAGTGAGAATCTATGAGGAGAGACGCACTGTCTCATTTGTTCCATAAACTGGACAGCTCTGCCTTTGCTCTCCACTGTAGCCATTCATTTGGGGCATATTTCAGTCTGAACACATTGGCCTGCCTCTGGTGATACGACCACAGGTACACTGCATCCCATTCTCACCATTCATGTTCTTCCTTTCTTTTGCTCACTTGAGAGTCAAGCCCCCAGCCTCCCTAGCTCTCCAGCACTCTTCAGCTAGAGACAAAGCAGGAAAAAACTCTCCCATTGATCCCAGCCATCTTCTTGACTCTCGCCATTGGCTCTTCTATACACTTGGTGGAGTACAGCTTCCATCATTCATGACACTGCGCCATATCAGAGGGGGCTGATGGGAACTGGAGTCCAACAGCACTGGGTGGGCCACAAATTTCCCCACCCCCTACCCAGCAGGATTTACAGCCCACCTCACAACAACATTCCCTCCCAAGGACAGAGGTAGTCATGCGACTCAGGAAGGGGAAGGGCTGGCTGTTGACGCAGGGGAAGGAGATGACCTGCCACTGTACCTTCGTGAACCAGAGGAAATCTTGCATAATGTTGCTGGCATGAGAGTCATCGATTTCCACAATCGGGATCTGATCTTCATTGGTTACTAGCATGTTGTCTTTGTAATAAAATATCACAGCTAAATACAGCCCTCTGCAAACAAAAGAGAGAGAGAGAGATTGAGAAGGAGAAAGTGAGAGGGAGGGAGGGAGGGAGGGAGGGAGAGGGAAGCAATAGATGGTGACTGGAATGGCTGCTTTGGGAAAGTCAAAGATTTGTGCACTTAGAGTAAGAGCCAATCATTACATTCCTCGTCTGGCCTAACTTGCCGAAGCAGTAGAATTTACTTTGTTGTTCAGGGGAGGGAAAATTTCCCAGAAATGCCATGATACTACACTCCAGAAAATAATGAGAAAATAGCTTCAAGAAGTGTCAGAGCTGATAGTGCCTTCCCAGTAGAAGCCGAGCAACTAATTCGTGATGTAAGTTTTCTTGGAAAAAAAAAAAAGAGAGAGAGAGAGAACATTCTTGGACAAGTAGTAGCACGTGATTCAGACTTTTCTACCTTTGGAAATAACAAATGAATGTTACGGATCAGTATTTGATGTAAGGCTGGTTTGCATTAGGGCTGCACAAGAAACGCAAACAGTCTTGTCATTCTCCTCCTTTTGATATTCAGATGAAAATGTCTGGCCAGCCGCCTACTGGTGTGCATGCATGTTTTGCATAATTTGCTGTGCCTCCTTGCAGCTGACTGACCAGAAGCCAGGTGGGTCTTGGGCTCTGGGCCAGGCACATGCCTGATCGCACCACCAAGATGCACCCCAGCACCTCGTCAATGACCTATAATTAGTTATGGCAGTTCATGCAAACCTTCCATGCACATCAATAGGATTTTGGTCATGGATTCCTTAAGCCATGTCATCATCAAACCACATGAATTCAGCAAAGGCTCTGAAAACACTGGTTTTCAGTGACTCCTTCATGCTGCAGTGGTGGGAAGCAGAAGCAGTCCAGGGAGGACACGGGGCTTTCTTAACAATAACCAGGAATTTGTTCTCTCTCAATCCTCACGTCCTCCTGCAATTATGAAATTCCACTCCGCAGCTACAATATTTATGTTTAGAAGAAGTACCCGTGATAGTCTGTGCAAGCACATCAGGCAAAACCCATGGGGAAAAATAAATACATTTTAAAAAATAATAAAAAAAGAAATTAAAAATGGGAAAAAGGCTAAAACCTGCAGCACCTTAAAGGCTAACTAAAGAAGACTAAACAATTGTAATAGTTAATCTTTAAGGGTTTTTGTCTTTTTTCATTTTTATTTTTTCCCTTTGGGTTTTGCCTAATATTTATCATTGTTGCATTTTACAGTTACCACAGCAGTAAAAATTGTACTTAAAACAACATATCAGTCTTCAGCTGTATGGAATTATTACTATTTTTGTTTGTTTGCACTGACTCCAATGTGTTAAATATCCTTGCCCAGTCCCCTCTTTGGTTTTCCTGCTCATGTGCTTTTCCTTTCAATTACCCAAGGAGGAATGAGCTGCCCCCTTAGGTAAGCAGAAAGCTCCTTCTTTTGACTGGCCAGTCTCTGCCTTAGGCAAGCCAGAAACTGCCAGGGCAAAAGCAGATCACTCCACATTTACCAATAAGATTCTGGCCCTTGTAAACCATAACTATAATGGCAGAATGCCTACAAGCATTTCAATGTCCTTCCTGGAAAACGTGGGCCTTTTATTTTCACCGTGATGAGCTTTCTCAGAAAGAATGACTGCAGAGACATTACATACAAAAGGTTGAGAACTACTGCCCTAAATTAATTCTAGGAGGAAATGCATCGGTTAGGTGGCCAAACTGTCTTCAAGGGGATCTTACCTGACAATGCCTATCTTTGCACTGAGGGCTTCTTTGCCTCTCACCAAAGAAGCCCTCATGGATTTCCAAAGATTCCCTAAACTGTGTGTGTGTGTGTGTGTGAACCATAAATCATAGTGATTTATAGGGGTCAGATTTGAAGTCCTGGACACTTACGTCAATGGAGTTATTTTAGCTTTGCATTCGTAGAACAGGGCATCGTTTTGTCCCACATAGTTGCAACACTGTTTACATTAAACCCATTCCTTCAAAATACTGACACTTGTAATTAGTTTACATACATTCATCAGTGGATTTAGTGAATTGAAGGACCTCAAGGGAGCTCTTTGGAAAGGAGTGAGCTCTTAGTGAAGCAAGAAAAAGAAGAAAATCAAATTGGATACTCTTGGTCACGAAGGAAAACCTAATCTAGCAGCAACCGTGACTTTCATTCGGGGAGACAAATTCTTTGAGGTAAACTGGGAAGGATGACAGCCCAAAATATTAACCTGGCTCAGTGTTTGTGAGCAAAGAGTCCTTGGAACTGCTTTCTGCTATCATTCCTAGAACAAACTGAGGCTCAACTGTAAATGAGGAGAACAGCAGGATCTACTCTTTGGAAGAGTGGACTGCTGGCTATTAAGTGTTACCAATTTCTTGAACTGTGATCCCAGGTAGATATATATAAGACTCTAGTGTACCCAGGATGGCTGCCTTACGCTTACCTAGGAGTGAGCCTCATTAAAAACACAAGGAAGTTTCTCTGCGCAGTTGGGGCTATTGATCTTGGCTCCTGATTATGTTGTGAGTGCTGAGAAACTTCTGAGCAGGGACTCTGGAGTTATGTAAGGCAGACACACTGGAGAGGTCCAACTCTAAAATGCTAAAGATCCTGCTATTATCAAACAAACCTTTTCAAAGTCTTCACAAACTTGTTTGAAGAGTGGAACAGATGCTTCAAGCTCCGTGAGACAGATTGCTTGCGGCCGGCATTCTGCAGTTTGGCACTATCTAGAAAAGACACATTAAAAGGGAAGGATTGGGGGGGGAGTAGGGAGAGAAAGAAAAGAACAGGATGTGGTGGGAGGCAGGAGAAGAGGTGGTGTGGGATTTTACAGAAATATCATTTAATGCGCCTTTGTTCAGATCGCAATAGCAGTTAAGCATCAATGGAAAGGTTACACTTACAAGAGTCTTCCAAAAGTGCCCTTTCTCCCTGGATAATTTTTGTGAATTTTGTACTAATACAAGGTAATAAACGAAAGCAGACAGGTGACTGATGTGTCTAATATATGCATTTATTTATATATTCACCTAAAATATTTCTTGCCTGACTTCAAAGCAAAGGCAGGAGGATATCCAGAGGTCCAGGGGCCATACATGTCCACCCCTGGAATGTGGAGGGCTGCACCTGTTCCTGTGACCTCCAAAGTTTTTTTCCTTATAAAAATTGTGTGGGATTTTTTTTTAATTGAAAAAGACTAAAAATGGGCACGAACCAGAAAAATGGTAGTTCCTGATGGTTTGTGGCTCCCCACAAACAGCAAACTTTCACGAACTCTCTTAAAAATGAACCAGTCCATGGTTTGGTTTGTGCCGATCTCTAAATAAGACCCCCTTTCCAAGCCATTTAAAAGTTGCTTTTTTGGTGGGGTGTATGCGTGACAGATCAGGGACATAAGGAGTCTTTTTGAGCCAATATTTTTAGAATTTTTCGGGAGGGTAAGGGTGGGGGTTGGGGAGCAGAAACATTTGGGTCTCATTATGCCCATTTCTGCTTTAAGGGCAAATGTGTCCAGCTGGCAGAACAAAATGCCGAACACTGATACAATAACATCATTATAGAACAGCAATTAAATGTCCGGCCCACAGGACATGCACTGAAAAAAACATAGGAAGAAAGGATTAAAGATGCCACTACTCTGTTTGACACCCATCCCCTGCAACTGGCTAAACGTTTTTTTTTGAGTTAGCTATCCTGCTGTGATTCTCTCTCATATGTTGTTGCTTGGTCCTGATGGTTAAAGTTTCCCTGCTCAGAAGGCAATTGGTGATTTTGTGGGTGCAAAAGTGTATTTTTACTCTTGGAAGCAAAGGTGGACTTTGCTTGCTGGAGCTGTTTTCTCTTTTCCCAGTATCTGGGAGGCCACACATTCCCTATCCCTGCTTTCAATATTTCTGAAGCCAAACTCAAATCTGATGGGATTTATAGGAGTCTTGTGTCAGTCAAAAAAATTGCTCTTGATGAGCACCTGTTGGAAGGACAGACAAGAGAATCATGTTGACTCTGGCAAACCACATTATCACTCTGTCTGCTTTGGAAAGAAAGAAGATGTCAACATAAGCCACTGTTGAAGTCTGATTCCTTCATTTTACAGAATCCAGTTGGTTTGACTGGCAGAATAATGTTTTCATGAGGATTAAATCTAAGACTGTTGTGACGCTGGACTCTCTTTGCTGCTGAAGGAATTAAAGATGGAAATTTAAAAATGCAGTTTCTTGAATACTTTCATAAGAAAAAAACATCTTCAATACTTGTCATGTTAAAGGAGATATTTAACTACCGAATCTTCTTAACAAGTTTGAACACAGTTGTTCTTTGTCAAAGCCCATATCAAAAAGCATTCCTCGTTTTTGTTTAAAAAATGTGACTACATTTGTACCTAATTTGGACAGTGCATGTGACGGAAATGAAGCACAGCTTTACCATTACTATCATGTACAGCAAGGGCAAAAATAAAATGACATTCATATGCAAATGAATGTCCTTTTTTTTCTTTTTCTGCCTATTCTTCCATTCCCAAAATGAAGAGGACATGACTTGCATTAGCTACAAAATACTAGGTTGCATCCAGCCTACAATGGGACAACAGCAGTAGGAAAAAAATAGCTGAAAATGTGTAGTCCTTCAGAGACCAGGCATGTGATTCAAATAAGATAACCAGTATGGTCTTATATGGTTTGATCAAGGTCATAAATGAAGGTATACAACTCTATAGGCAGAAAGCTCAAAGGTACATCCAAATCTATCTAAGCTTCAGAGGCTTCCTTCACCCAATGAAAGATTAGAGTCGTTCTGTCAATAGGATATATGGAACTGTTTTTCCAGCTGAAGGTATTTTTACACTTCTGTCTACTTAGGCAAAGTGTACTTGTCCAGGCGCACAATGCAAAGCTGTGACAACGTTAAAGGAAGCATGGCAGGGTGGAAAGCATGGGGTCAAGTGTGTCCTCTAAATACACAGTCTGGCCAGCCTGGGCGTAATGCCTGGCATCCTTATGTTGGCATAACTTCACATTACATGAAGATGAACTGCATTTTGCCCATTATGGTAGCAGTCTTCTCTTTTCTTCTATACTTTTGTTGTTGCACCCAGTTGCAAAGTCACCCATCACGCCCATAGTTTTCCATACAGTTTCCTGTTAAAGGCGAAGTGTGGTATGCAGTGGTTCTTAACCTTTGTTACTCGGATGCTTTTGAACTGCAACTCCCAGAAACCCCAGTCAGCACAGCTGGTGGTGAAGGCTTCTGGGAGTTGCAGTCCAAAACTCCTGAGTAACCCAGGGTTAAGAACCAGTGGTATAGAGGCAATTCAGTTCCACCAGACTCCACTGAAGCTGTTGGCTTTTCCACTGGTTGTGTTGATTAGCATGGCTGAGGTATGGGGTGGTGCTAGACAGTGATTCCTCATTAGCAAATGAATTAAGTTACTGAAGAAGAATGACTATAGTAACATTTTGAAGATGTTCATAACCAAGTATACCAGTAAGCAGTGGTACAGTGTACTTTTCTAAGCTCTGTCATTTGCCTGACTCTTGCTGATAGGAACTTCAGAACATCCTATTACATAATTACTTACAGAGCAAGCGATGCACTCAAAATGTTGGGTCTGATTTCTCTTCAGATCGTATAAATCTTTCACCTTTTGACATTTGAATGTATGAGAAGAAATTGGGCACCCCTGCAAGCTATGTCTCAGTGTTTCCACATATGTGGACACCACTTCAGAACTTTTGGTATGTAACACAGAACTCCAAGATAGACCTCTAAGCATGTTTTAGTTTAGGGTCAAATTAAACAACATTGGTTTTTTTACAATTTATGGAGGTGTTCTCTCAAATATTTGTCACACCATGCGATTTTCATGTCAGCATATTGCGTTTAGCTGTGGAGCCAGAGGTTGGGAGTTTGATTCTCCACAGTGCTTCCAGGGAGAAAAGCCAGCCTGTGTAGTCATGGACAAGCTGCACAGTCCCAAGATGGCCCCTACAAGTAGGGAATGGTAAAATCCTTTTGTGCATTCTCTGTTTGGAAACCCCTGGAAAGGGGTACCATAAGTCAGAGTCAACTTGATAGCGCACAATGAGCTTGCTGGATCACTCTGTGAGCTAGGTATCTGGCTGTGGAGCTGGAGGTTCAGAGTTCAATTCCCCACCATGTATCCCAGAAAAGCCAGGCTATGTGGCCTTGGGCAAGCTGCACAATTCCAGGATGACCCTAGAAGAAGGGGATGGCAGACCATTTCTGAGTACACTCTACTGTACTTAGAAAATCCTGAAAAGTGTTGCTGTAAGTCAGAATTAACTTCATGGCACATAATTGTTTTTATATTGTGTTTAGCATGCTTAACTTGCAAGTCTGATTGCTGAGGCATGTATCCCTTAGGAGACTGCACTGTGGGATGTAAAGCGAATTGATCACAAGAAATACAAAAGAATCTTCTTAACACCTCATTAGGCTTACAGTATGCTTAAAAGCCTCTCAATAGAGAGAGGACATGATAACACAGGGCTGCCAATTAGCTAGGGACATGAACTGCCAGTTTGGCATGATTTGTTTAGTGGCCAGCTGATCCACGCTTTTGTGCCCCCTTTGTCAGATGCCCCCTCTGAGGCAGGGTAGGGTACTGCCAGTGAATGGGATCCCACTGGAAGGGGGCAGAGCACTGAATCACAGACCAGCCACTGCCAGTGAATGGGATCCCACTGGAGGGGGCAGAGCACTGAATCACAGACCAGCTGTTCGGCCAGTAAATGAACCAATGAACCACTGAACTGGTGGTAGCCAATGAACCCCAATGAACCAATGAACCACTGAACTGGTGGTTTGAGTCCATCTCTAAGCAGGAACCCTGTGTGTCTCCTTTATTGGGGAGATAAGTTTAAGAAAGTTACTGAGTGTGATCAGGCAAAAGCCAGATAGAACTTGGAACCAATGAGGTATAAATAACAAGTTCCTTTTGGGAACAATCAAGGGAGAATCAAGTTACATAACAAGTGTAACATAATAAGGCACAACTTCACTCCTTTTGTTATCCAGCTATACCTGGTTTTACTTAGTATTGTGGCCACAGGAGTTGAGGATTCACTACCTGCCTGTGTTGGTCTAAAACTAATAATTAAAATGAATTATCAAATAACATTTGAATACTTTGAACATAAAATATAACATTGAAATGCAACTGCAAAGGTAACTAAAAACTTGGGGGGGGGAGGCTTGAAACGGTAACTAGTTACTTTCAAAAAGTAACTGTCCTAGTTCTGAAAACAGAACATTCTAGAACGTCTGGGTGGATCTTGCATGTGCCTTACTCCCCATCCCCATTCTAGAATTCCATGCATTTTCTCAAATACCTGTGTGTGGCTCAGAAGATCCATAGATTTATTCTATGTTTTCTGGAAGAGACTCCAACAGGTGTCGTGTCATAGAAGGTTCCTTCAAGCTGCTTTTCAGCTTGGGGGCAGGTGAGACTTTAAAATATTAATTCCACACAACCCAGGAAACAGTAAGGAACATGCCTGCAAATGGGAGACCTGATTTTTCAGAAACAAAGTGCCATGACACCTCAAGGAACACCATGCAATTATCCCAGTAAAATAAAAAGCAAGGAGTGTTTAAAGTTGGAAAAAAATGTGGTTCGGCTAGTGGAATGGTTTGGCTCCCCTCCACCACAAGCGCTTTAATAGCCGCTACTATCGAACCAAGGTACGAGGAACTGCCGCAACTATTC